GTCCTTTTGGAAAACAGTATGGACGATTCTCCAAAAACTAGAAATTGAGCTGCCATTTGACCCAGCAATACCACTCCTGGGAATATATCCCAGAGAGGCAAAAAAGTATAGTCGAAGTGACACCTGCAATTGTCTGTTTATTGCAGCACTCTTTACAATAGCCAGAATCTGGAAAAAACCTGAGTTCCCGAGAACAGATGACTGGTAAAAGAAACTTTGGTACATCTACACAATGGAGTACTATGTAGCTGTTAGAAAAGATGAAGTCATGAAATTTACATACAAGTGGTACTACATGGAAAGTATCATGCTAAGCGAAATGAATCAGAAAGAGAGGGATAGACAAAGAAAGACTGCATTCATCTGGGGAACATAAAGTAACAAAATGGCCGAGATTAGTACCAGGAATTTTGCTCCATGGCTTGGAGGCCAGCCACACATGCTAGGGAAAAAGGGAGCTCAGATAGAAAAGGGAGCACCAAATAAAGGGTGTTGGGAGGATCCTCCCAGGATGGGAGAAGCATGCTGAAAGTAGACTTTAGACCAAACGTGATTGCCACTCAATGTCTCTTTTGCAAACCACAGCACCCAAAAGGAGAGAGAGAACAAAAGGGAATGCCCTGCCACAGAGGCAGGGTGGGACGGGGGGGTGAGGGTTGGGAGGGATACTGGGACCCGTGGTGGTGGAAAATGGGCACTGGTGGAGGGATGGGTATTTGATCATTGTATAATTGAAACCCAAGCACAAAAATTGGTAAGTCTACAACTGTACCTCGTGGTGTTTCACTAATAAAAATTTAAAAAAAAAAAAGGAAGAAAGAAAGAAAAAAAGTTTCTGCATTTAAAGAGCAAAGATACCCCGGAGGTCCCTAAACATTTCTTGAGGATAGGAGGGTTAGAGGGAGCAGGTCATAACTGTCATGCTCAGAAGTACTCCTGGTTCTGTGCTCGGGATCGTGCATGCAGTGCCAGGAATCCGTCCCAGGCCTCCTACATGCTTTGAATGCATCCAACCCACTGTCTTTTTTTTAGGGGTGGGGGGGAGAGGGGGAGTGTGGGGCCCACACCTGGCAGTGCTCAGGGGTTACTCCTGGCTGCACTCAGGAATCAGTCCTGGTGGACTCAGGGGTTGTTGGAGAGGGACTATATGGGATGCCAGGGGTTGAACCCAGGTAGGCTGTGTGCAGGGGTAAGGCCCTACTGTCAGTATTTTTGCTCTCGTCCCCCCAGAAGATTTCTGAATCTTGAGATCATTCGACTTGGAAATTTTAACTCAGTCTGCAAAATCCTTTTCCATCGGTACCTGGAGCTATGGTTGATTGAATGACCAGGGCCTGGGGAATCTTAGGGAACACCTTAGAATCTCCCACCCTGAATACCCAAATCTGGGGGACCTGTTCTTGTATACTTTTCTAGGTTTTTGTCAGTCAGATGTCATAAAATCTTCTTCAAATGCCCTTTCCATTTGTTTTTCTCTGATTCGTAGTAAATTTGAGGGTTTCTTTGTACGTGCTGGCCTTTTGAATTTTCTATTTTGGAAATCAACTTTTTATATCCCTAGCCCAGTTGGGAAACAGATTCTTGTCTTTTTTTACTTTCTTGGCCAGAGCTCCCTTGACCTCCTCTTTTAAATGTTGAAAATGTTTTGTTCTTCATCCATCCTCCTCCTCTTAACTTTGCCAATATATGTATTTTTTTTAATTAAATAGAAATATTTGATTTTTAACATAGTCAAATCTGTCCGTTTTTCAGTGTATCGTTTGTAGTTTGGAGAGGAATCACGAAGAGCCCTACACACACTGGCGACGTCACGAAGCAGGACGTTTAATTGATATAATTTCATTCTTTATTCATTACTAACATAAGCATTTGAGGTTGTGAGTCTTAAATTTGCTGATCTGTTAGAAGATTTTAACTTCTAACATAGCTAATAATCTGTATGACTTTGATCTTTTAAACTGATTTAGGCTGGGGAGCAGCGGGCGGCAGAGGCACGACTGACTTTGCTCAGGAGTCACTCCTGGCGAGACTGGTGACTGCACGTGCTGCTGATTCTTAAATCTGGGCCGGCCGCGTGCAAGGCAAGTGCCCTCCTGCTGCCCTGCCTCTCCGGCTGAGGACCTTTGATGTCCCAGCACTCCGGCCCTGGGACTGTGTCCCACTGTGCATCGGCGGAGTGTTCCGTCTGTCATTTCTGTTTTCTCGCTTAATTCAGCATTTATTTGCTGGCCATCAACCTTCTGTCTTTTTTCCAAAATTCCCACCTTTGACGGTGACCTTTGTTGCTCTTTTCCTTAAGTATTTTTATGGCTTAGGCCTTGAGAGCTTCCTGGACCTCGATTTTTGCTTTTGTTCTGCTGGTGTAGATTGTAGCAATTCCTTTTAAAAGCAGATCTAGGGGCTGATCTAGGGGCTGGAGAGATAGCACAGCTGGTGGGGCATTTGCCTTGCACACGGCTAACCCGGGTTCGATTCCCAGCATCCCATATGGTCCCCTGAGCACCGCCAGGAGTAACTCCTGAGTGCAGAGCCAGGAGTAACCCCTGTGCATCGCCGGGTGTGACCCAAAAAGCAAAAAAAAAAAAAAAAAAAAAAGATCTAGAGGGCCTGGGGAGATGGTTCGGGGAGTGCCTGTGCCTTGCCTGTGTGAGGACCGAGTTCTGTCCCCAGCACCATAGCAAGCCCCACCCTGTACTGCTAGGTGTGGCCCTGGTGTCCCCTCCACCTCCGGGTGTGGCCCTGGTGCTCTTCGCATGGCACCCAGCAGAGATACCCTAGCCTAGGCCCCGAGTAGTGGGAATGCTGTAGGCAGGGAGAGCTGCCACCAGGGCCTGCCACAGCGTCCCGAAGGAGGGCAGCCCCAGAGGCACCTGTGGGTCTCACAGCCTGGTGTGTGTCTCACACTCACACGATCCATGCTCCCTGCACCCTCGCCCAAGTCTTGTCTCCAGGCGTCACAGCAGCAGGGGGAGGGAAAATAAAAAAATAAAATAAACGTTTGTTTAAAAACAGAAAAAAAAAAGAAATTGAGGGGTAGGTGGACTTGTTTTTGTTTTTGTTTTTTAGTGAGACACCATGAGGTACAGTTGTAGACTTACAAATTTTTGTGCTTGGATTTCGATTATAAAATGATCAAATACCCATCCCTCCTAGGTGGACTTATTTTAAACTAAAAATCATGGGTTGGATACAAGACTTATTTTAAGTGAGTAGTGAAGAAATAACGGGGAACATGTTTTATCTATCACATGTATTATTTGTGACTTCTATTTGGAAATGTTTAGCACATGTCAGGTCAGATATCTCAGTCTTGAGTAAGTTAGTCCTTAGAAATTGTCTTTTTATTGCCAGAGGGATTTAAAGATGAGATTGGGGGTTTTTGATGGTGTTTTTGTTTTGTTTTAGCATTTGAAGCAGGGATGGGTTAGCTAGAGTCAGTATCAAAGGAAATTTGAAAAATAATAGACCCTTCAGAATCCCCAAATAAAGAGGCAGCTTTCTTCTTTTTTTTTTTTCTTTTTGGGTCACACCCGGCAGTGCTCAGAGGTGACTCCTGACTCTGCATTCAGGAATCACTCCTGGCGGTGCTCGGGGGACCATATGGGATGCTGGGGATTGAACCCGAATCGGCCATGTGCAAGGCAAACGCCCTACCCATTGTACTATCGCTCCAGCCCCAGCAGTTTCATTATTACAGTCCTGACGTGGTGTGCAGTGTGTTTAGAACAGCTGCTTGAGGGAAGGTCATCATGTCTTGTGCTTTTAGTTCAGTGTTTTGTTAATTCAGTCTGTGGGAAGAAATCTTTATCCTCTGTGTGCATTGAACATTGTCTCTGTCTTTGTTTTTACTTTGCTGCACAATTACAGCTGAAAATGTTGCTAAAACATTTTCAGATATATGTTCAGTTTGGAATCCAGGAGTTGGTACTTTAGCTTCCTCCTTAAAAAAGTAGATCTCAGCTCAGATAGAGAAGGGAGCACCAAATAAAGGGTGTTTGGAGGATCCTCCCAGGAGGGGAGATGCATGTCGAAAGTGGACTATGGACTGAACATGTTTGCCACTCAATGCCTCTTTTGCAGACCACAACACCCAAAAGGAGAGAGAGAACACAGGGGATTGCCCTGCCACAGAGACGGGGGGATGGGGGGATGGGGGTGGGAGGGATATTATCCATGGTGGTGGAAAATGGGCACTGGTGGAGGGATGGGTATCTGATCATTGTATAATCGAAACCCAAGCACAAAAAATTGTAAATCTACAACTGTACCTCATGGTGTTTCACTAAAAATTTAAAAAAAAAAATAAAAAGTAGATCTAAGGCCAGAGATAGTACAGCAGTTAAGGCGCTTGCCTTGTAGTCAGGCAACCCAGGTTTAATCCCCATATGGTTCCCTGAGCACTGCCGGGCAGGGAGTGATTCCAGAGCACAGAGCCAAGAATGACCACTGAGCACCATGGGGTGTAGCCCAAAGCTCCCCTCAAAAAAAAGTTCTTCGCATTCAAATGCTTTTGATCAATTTGTTTTAGGGCCCTACAAACTAGGGCCTAGTTTACAGCAGTACTTGGAAGCTCCTCGTGGGCCAGTGCTCAGGGGTTGCTCTTGGAGGTGCTCACGGGACTAAGCAGTGCCTAGGATTCAATCCAGGTTTCTCACTTGTAAATCCTGTGCCCCAGCCCTTCGTGCCGACTCCCCACTTAAAATTTTCACTCAGAAGATCTGGCTCAGCTTAATATCCAGATCTGTTTTTAGGGAGAAGTATCCTTTGGTTGTTGGATAGTTTGAAAAGACAAAGGAGACTTCCCTGATCTTAGTATTTTCCAAACAAGTACTTTCTCTTTTAGGTATATGTTGAGAATTGCCCTTTTTCTTTTTTTCCTTTGGCCATCAAAAGGACTCGTCTTTACATAGGTTTACATGTGTTGTAGTTCTTTCATTTGGAACACAGAACACAGAGACAGACATGTAATCGCTTTCTCCGGCTGTGTTGTTCATTTGCAGCCTTCAAGCAAAATGCAAGTACCGGAGGAGAATTTCTTCAATGTTCCTGCTTTTTTAACTGTCTCAGGACAACTTCATCTGGAAGTGATGTCGGGGTAAGAATCTTTTTCTCTCATGTTTTTCTCTCTTATTTGTACGGCTTTGGCTCGAGTGCAAGGCTGCCTCCTTTCCAAATGTTCAGAACTAAAAAGTTGAGATGAGCGTTGGTGATTAATTAGTCCACTTGAATTCACTAAAAGTAGAATGCCAATTTAAAAATAGCCCAATTTCTTAATGAAAATCATCATTAGACTTGTATTTTTCATTGAAAAAATTTAATACTGGAAATAGGAAACTTGTGTTTATTTATTTATTTTTTGGGGGGGGAGTAAGCTCTTCTTAGACCTCAAAGGGTCAGCAAAATTTAATCATGTTTTTGAGAATACAGCTCGTCCTAGTTAAAGGCTAGAGATATATTACAGTGGGTGGGGGGCTTACCTTGCACACGGCACACGGCCGACTCAGGTTCGGTCCCCGGCCCCCAATATGGTCCCCACACCCCTCCACCCTGCGCCCACTGGAGTGATCCCTGAGCGTAGAGTCACCTTAGCATCACTGAGTGTGACCTTCAAAAGAAGACAACAGAAATGTAGTCATAGTTACATAAACATGATGCCTGGCCACGTATTGGAGCATTTTTAAAGGTTTCTGGAAATTCTCTTGGAAGACTGGCAGGTGGAGGAAAGCAAAATTTTAATAATTTGTTGCTGGAGCGATAGCACAGCGGTAGGGCGTTTGCCTTGCACGCAGCCAACATGGCCGACCCGAGTTCGATTCCTCCGCCCCTCTCGGAGAGCCCGGCAAGCTACCGAGAGTATTCGATATGCCAGACACAGTAACAACAAAGTCTCCAATGGAGACGTTACTGGGCCCGCTCGAGCAAATCGACGATCAACGGGAGGGCCTTTACCTTTACCTTTACCTTGTTGAACACGAGCCCCTGAGAGACCAATTTCAAGTTGGGAAGTTTTAGAAGTCAGGTGGCATAAACGTCAGCTGCCCTCAGTCCCCTGCAGAATCCCTTTTGGCCCAGCTCTCCTTGTCTTTAAAACGGTCTTCGACCAGGACATCTTTCGAGTCCCGAATGGATCTTGTACTCCGTGGTACTGTAGGTGATTCACTAGTACTGAAATCAACAAGTGCATACGTCAGTATAGAATGTTATAGAATGTGCATATCTTCTACAGGAGAGGCTCCTTTATGTCTTTTTGTTTTCTCATGAGCCTGTGAAAACGGGATTCTTCAGTATAAACCAAGCATTTTGGCTGCCTAAGGCAACAGAGCGCACGGCCGTGTTTTTACCACTTTACGGACAGAATGGAAAGTCCCTGGTGTAGAATAAAGACAGTCTTGAAAATAGTTTAAACTTGAACACCAAAATAGTTCTCTCATTTATCTTCCAAACAGAGCCATGTTATTTGATAATTCCAAGAAACCAAATACTTTCACAGTGTTACCAGAATACGCTGCAGAAAAACTGTAGTTGTAACCCTTTAAAATTTGTTGAGCTCTATGTGAAGAAAGGCCAGATCATAAAAAAAAAGTCTTTTTTTTTTTTTTAAATTCTATTCTGCCTATCAAAATAGAATACGGAGATGGTAGTGGGAGTATTCCCAGTGGTGCTCGGGGAATGTTCCTGGCTCTGTGCTCAGGAGTGACCCCCTGGCAGGCTCAGACAACCATCTATGATGCCGCGGATTGAATGAGGGTTGGCCACGTGTAAGGCACGTAGTCTGCCCGCTGTACTCTCTCTCCAGCCCTCAAAGTAGAATTTCTTTTGTTTGTTTTCATTTGGGGACCACACTTGATGGTGTTCAGGGTTTACTCCTAGTTTTGTGCTTAGGACTCAGTCTTAGAGATGCTCAAGGAACCATATGTGGTGCCAAGGATTGAACTCAGGTCAGCTCCATACAAGACAAGTACTTAGCCTACTATGTTACTACCCTGGTCTTTTCAAAGTAGTATTTTTAAAAAGCTGAAAATATAACTCAGACAAATCAGAACATTTTGAATATCTTACTCAGTTTACAAATTACTGAGGTAAATTAGTAAGACTGGTCAGGCAAAGCTTTTGAGGAAATGTATGCTCATTGACAATTTCATTGAGGTATTTTAGAGTAAGATTTGTAGGTTAGTTCTAAATTAATTAATATTCTACAGATAATTAACCCTAACCTTTGAAATTTTCTCTTCTGTAGGGCAGAACTTGTTTGTAACGTAACCAGATAAAAATCTTGAAATTCAGGTGTAACTTTACTTAATCTGAGATATTTAATTCAATAGAAGTAGAATAATGGGGTAACCTACAGTTGATGACCTTTGAGTGAGTCTTTGTCCCTAGCAATGCATTAAAAGAACATGCCAACTTCCTTTTGTCCTTATACCCAAAATTTGGATAAGGTTTTTTATAGTTGGCTATTCATTTCTTTTATGTATGTTTAGAAGTTAGATACCTTCCTTTCAAAGTTATCATAACCTATAAAAGGTGCTAAATTTACCAGACATTTGTTTTTCTACTATAAAATCACTAGTGACTTAAATGTTTTCATTTTTCCCAGTAAAATGCAGTAAAGCACAAAATGCAATATATAGTAAAATTCAGCATAGATGAGATTGACAGACTATGAAGTTTTCTGTTATTTGATGTGTTGTGAAGTGTTTCTAATGATTTCAGTCTAATGTTCCTAGTGTTCATGGGCATGGATGTAGGATTTAATCTGTAAGAGTAATAGTCGTCTTCCCTCAGCTTTCTCTTTCTTTAGTTTCACATACTAGACTGTTTAAATGGAATAAATGGTAGTTAAATTTAGAAGGTTAACCTTTTCCAAAAGAATGTCTAAGTTGATTGGTGGGTTTATGGCTCTCTGTTTCTCTTCTTCCCTCCCTGATTCATTTTCTTCTCTCTCCTTCTCTCTAAACATTGGAGTCAGGGGTGATAAAGGCCTCAAGAGGAGTTAAAATTCTACATTCTTCTAAATGGGAGATTTGTTCTTGCTCTACTCTTCTTTGTGTAATATTTATACCAGGATAAACTCATGTATTTTATAATATGAGTTAGATTTCAAATATGTGTTATTTTGTTCTCAAACTCCCCCCTCCCCTTCTTTTTCAAAGAATGTATTCTGTTTTGGGTGGCCTGCTTTCAGTAGTGTGAATGCTTATGCTTTTGTGTCCCAAATTACCTCATCTTCACCGTAGCAAAGTGCCCAGACTCTCCACCACGTTCCTTATGCCTTCTAGTCCTCTCCCACCCAGAACCCTTCCACTTCTTGGTGACCTTTGTTTTATAGTTCAAGTCGAAGGGTTTGCTGTCTTGGATAACATCCATTCCCTTGTTTTGTTTCTTCATGTAATACAAATGATTGTTGAAGTTCGGTATTTCCATGTCTTGTCTGGGCTGGAGCAGTAGCACAGCAGGTAGAGCGTTTGCCGTGCACACCCCAACCCTGGTTCAGTTCTTCCGCCCCTCTCGGAGAGCCCGGCAAGCTACCGAGAGTATCCCGCCCTCACGGCAGAGCCTGGCAAGTTCCCCGTGACGTAGTCGATAAGCCAAAAACAGTAACAAGTCTCACAAAGGAGACGTTACTGGTGCCCGGTCGAGCAAATCGGTCAACAACGGAGTACAGTACTACAGTGCTACGGTGCATGTCTTGTCTGTTTTGCTTAGAACGCCACTGAGCGTCGGTTGCTGTGCTTCTGTTTATTGGCGTCTGTGTTTGTGTCTTTTTGGCTCGACGCCAAGAAGTGGAATCACGGTGTCATCTGGAAGTTCTAATCTTATGCTTTTGAGAAGTCTCCATGCTGGTTTGCATTAAGGCTGAAACATTGCCACCAACAGTAAGTGAAGGTTCCTTTCTTACCACATCCTCACCAGCACTGGCTAGTCCGGTCTTCTTGGTAGAAAAATCATCCTCTCTGGTGTACAGATATCTAAGCCTCAACTTCAAAGTTTCAAATTAAGTGTATCTGGCATAAGCCAAGAATTTGTTTTTCTTCCAAGTGGTTTCTAGAACCATCGGTTAAAACAAAACAAAACAAAACAAAACACTGTTTTCGGGCAATGGTTTCAGATCTCTTGTTGAGATTAAGAATACAGAAGATGACTATGTTAGATAAGGAAATTATGGAGAAAAATAGCTTCTAGTGGGACTAAGAATTTAACTTTGTTACTAAAGAATCTAAAATGAGGCCAAGAGCAGAATTCTCCGCTGATTCTGTACAGCAACTGTACCTGCATCATCTGCTGAGACATGGGGGAGACTGACAGTGGGCTTAACCAGGAAGTGGTTTAATCAAGAGAAATGGGGAACCAACGGGGCCAGAGTGGTAGGACTGTGGGTAGAACGCCTACTTAGCACACCGCTGACCTGAGTGCAATTCCCAGCATCCTGCATGGTCCCCCAAGCACCACCACAAGTGATTCCTGAGTGCAAGGCCAGGAGTTACCCCTGAGCGCAGCCAGGTAAAGCCCAAAAACAAACCCAAAAAAAGTGAATCAACAGATGGGAAAGAAAAATAGAGTGTTTTTAGTTAAGTAAGTAATTATCATGATCTGGTTTGGGTTTTGCTCTTAGTTTAGTTGTTACTGTAGTATGTTGCTCAAACTTGTTTTGGTTTTGGTGTGTTTAAAGTTTGTAGTGCACCTAAGAGTTTATTTTTGATTGTGTGCGTGTTGGTTGATTGTGTTGAGTGTCCACTTTATGTTGAATCTCCTTCCAGAATATTTTCATTGCTCCAAAACCCCTCTCTGCTCCAACTCTGTCCCTTCTCCTTCCTTGCCCCAAGCAGCCACTGGTGTTTTTACTCTCTCCATGGTTTTGCCTTTTCCAGGATGTTTTTAGTTGGAATTATGAAGTATGTAGTCTTTTCAGATCAGTCTCCTTTGGTAATGTGTGTTTAAGATTCCTTTCTCTCTTTTCATGGCTTGATAGCTCGTTTCTCCTTCATGCCTTCTTTTTTTCTTTGTTTTCATTTTGTGGTTGTTGTTTGGTTTGGTTTTGTGGCTATACCCAGTTGTGCTCAGGGGCTATTCCTGACTCTGTGCTCAAGAATGACC